AGTTAGTGTGCAGTTAGTGTGTAGTTAGTGTGCAGTCAGTGTGCAGTCAGTGTGCAGTTAGTGTGCAGTCAGTGTGTAGTCAGTGTGCAGTTAGTGTGCAGTCAGTGTGCAGTCAGTGTGCAGTTAGTGTGCAGTTAGTGTGTAGTGTAGTCAGTGTGCAGTTAGTGTGTAGTGTAGTCAGTGTGCAGTTAGTGTGCAGTCAGTGTGCAGTCAGTGTGCAGTTAGTGTGTAGTTAGTGTGTAGTGTAGTCAGTGTGTAGTTAGTGTGTAGTGTAGTCAGTGTGTAGTCAGTGTGTAGTCAGTGTGTAGTCAGTGTGTAGTTAGTGTGTAGTCAGTGTGTAGTTAGTGTGTAGTCAGTAGTGTTGTTGTGTGTAGTCAGTGTGCAGTTAGTGTGTAGTCAGTGTGTAGTCAGTGTGCAGTTAGTGTGCAGTTAAGTGTGTAGTCAGTGTGTAGTCAGTGTGTAGTCAGTGTGTAGTTAGTGTGTAGTCAGTGTGTAGTCAGTGTGTAGTCAGTGTGTAGTTAGTGTGTAGTCAGTAGTGTTGTTGTGTGTAGTCAGTGTGCAGTCAGTGTGCAGTCAGTGTGTAGTTAGTGTGTAGTTAAGTGTGTAGTCAGTGTGTAGTCAGTGTGTAGTTAGTTTGTAGTGTAGTCAGTGTGTAGTGTAGTCAGTAGTGTTGTTGTGTGTAGTCAGTGTGCAGTTAGTGTGCAGTCAGTGTGTAGTTAGTGTGTAGTCAGTGTGCAGTTAGTGTGTAGTCAGTGTGTAGTCAGTGTGCAGTCAGTGTGTAGTCAGTGTGTAGTCAGTGTGCAGTTAGTGTGTAGTCAGTGTGCAGTTAGTGTGTAGTTAGTGTGTAGTCAGTGTGTAGTGTAGTCAGTAGTGTTGTTGTGTGTAGTCAGTGTGCAGTCAGTGTGTAGTCAGTGTGTAGTCAGTGTGCAGTTAGTGTGCAGTTAGTGTGCAGTTAGTGTGTAGTTAGTGTGCAGTCAGTGTGTAGTCAGTGTGTAGTCAGTGTGCAGTCAGTGTGTAGTTAGTGTGTAGTCAGTAGTGTTGTTGTGTGTAGTCAGTGTGCAGTCAGTGTGTAGTTAGTGTGTAGTCAGTGTGTAGTCAGTGTGCAGTTAGTGTGCAGTTAGTGTGCAGTTAGTGTGTAGTCAGTGTGTAGTCAGTGTGCAGTTAGTGTGTAGTCAGTGTGCAGTTAGTGTGTAGTTAGTGTGCAGTCAGTGTGTAGTCAGTGTGTAGTCAGTGTGCAGTCAGTGTGTAGTTAGTGTGTAGTCAGTAGTGTTGTTGTGTGTAGTCAGTGTGTAGTTAGTGTGCAGTTAGTGTGTAGTCAGTGTGCAGTCAGTGTGTAGTCAGTAGTGTAGTTAGTGTGCAGTCAGTGTGTTGTTGTGTGTAGTCAGTGTGCAGTCAGTGTGTAGTTAGTGTGCAGTCAGTGTGTTGTTGTGTGTAGTCAGTGTGCAGTTAGTGTGCAGTTAGTGTGTAGTCAGTGTGCAGTCAGTGTGTAGTTAGTGTGTAGTCAGTAGTGTAGTCAGTAGTGTAGTTAGTGTGTAGTTAGTGTGTAGTCAGTGTGTAGTTAGTGTGCAGTCAGTGTGTTGTTGTGTGTAGTCAGTGTGCAGTCAGTGTGTAGTTAGTGTGTAGTCAGTAGTGTTGTTGTGTGTAGTCAGTGTGCAGTCAGTGTGCAGTCAGTGTGTAGTCAGTGTGTAGTCAGTGTGCAGTTAGTGTGTAGTCAGTGTGCAGTTAGTGTGTAGTTAGTGTGTAGTCAGTGTGTAGTTAGTGTGTAGTCAGTGTGCAGTCAGTGTGTAGTTAGTGTGTAGTTAGTGTGTAGTCAGTGTGTAGTTAGTGTGTAGTCAGTGTGCAGTCAGTGTGCAGTCAGTGTGTAGTGAGTGTGTAGTTAGTGTGTAGTGAGTGTGTAGTCAGTGTGTAGTTAGTGTGTAGTGAGTGTGTGGTCAGTGTGTAGTTAGTGTGTAGTCAGTGTGTAGTCAGTGTGTAGTTAGTGTGTAGTCAGTGTGTAGTCAGTGTGTAGTTAGTTTGTAGTGTAGTCAGTGTGTAGTGTAGTCAGTGTGTAGTCAGTGTGTAGTTAGTTTGTAGTCAGTGTGTAGTTAGTTTGTAGTCAGTGTGTAGTCAGTGTGTAGTCAGTGTGTAGTCAGTGTGTGGTCAGCGTGTAGTCAGTGTGTGGTCAGTGTGTAGTTAGTGTGTAGTCAGTGTGTAGTCAGTGTGTAGTTAGTGTGTAGTCAGTGTGTAGTTAGTGTGTAGTCAGTGTGTAGTGTAGTCAGTGTGTAGTCAGTGTGTAGTTAGTTTGTAGTCAGTGTGTAGTCAGTGTGTAGTTAGTTTGTAGTCAGTGTGTAGTCAGTGTGTAGTCAGTGTGTAGTGTAGTCAGTGTGTAGTCAGTGTGTAGTCAGTGTGCAGTCAGTGTGTAGTCAGTGTGTAGTGTAGTCAGTGTGTAGTCAGTGTGTAGTTAGTGTGTAGTTAGTGTGTAGTCAGTGTGTAGTCAGTGTGTAGTCAGTGTGTAGTCAGTGTGTAGTTAGTGTGTAGTTAGTGTGTAGTCAGTGTGTAGTTAGTGTGTAGTCAGTGTGTGGTCAGCGTGTAGTTAGCTTGTAGTCAGTGTGTAGTCAGTGTGTAGTTAGTTTGTAGTGTAGTCAGTGTGTAGTGTAGTCAGTGTGTAGTCAGTGTGTAGTCAGTGTGTAGTTAGTGTGTAGTTAGTGTGTAGTCAGTGTGTAGTGTAGTTTTGTTGTTGTGTGTCAGAACAATGAGGCGCCTGCTGAGTGTTACAGGTGTTACAGCAGTGACACATCTGCTGCTGTCAGGCCTGCAGGTATCAGGCTGTTGTTCTCCTTCGTCTCATAGTGGACACAAATTATTTTTGGAGTGGCACAAATAATTTGTGTGGCATCAGAGTTGATGCAGAACAGCTGATTGTTCTGTAAATAGTTTGAAATGTTTATTTAAAAACGCTTTGGCTGCATTTTTAGGTAAACAGCTGCAAAAAGCTTTGTTTGCATAACTCAGTTACTTTTTTGAAGAAGTAACTATATAATTAACTGCCCAACATTGGTCATTATTTACTGTATTTGCAGACAGAGTTACAGACTCTCTCCCAGACCACAGACTCAGAATACAAGTCAGAGCTTTATGAAAAATAAAGAAAGAAAGTTTTGTTTTCAAACTTGGAGTTCAAGTTATTTTTCCTTCCAATAGTGTTAACATGCTACAGGTCATGAACAAGATTGTTTTTAAATTTTCATTGTAAGTGGGCTAAAGCAGTTAATTCAAAGTAGTCTAACATAAATGCTGTAATTTGATTACTTTAATAAACATGTAACTTGGATGCTGGCGTGACCACACTGCACACGTCTGCTGTTGGGGCGCTCAGTTTGTGTTCGCTCAGACACGTGAAACATTAGAGGGAACGTTGGTTAGGACACCAGTGCTAATGAGGTCAGATGCATATTTCATGTTTCTGTATGAAATGGTTTAAATGTGATCACTGTGTGATGAACCAGTGGGCTCACTGCACGCTGTGCTTCATCCATCCTCCTCTTCATCGCATTCATTAACCTTTGAACCAAAGCAGAAGAGGAGCAACAACTCCTGAAGGAGAGCAGGACGATCCTTAACTCGACCTGCCAAACACTGATGACCCTGTTGGAGAATGTGGCCAATGTGCTGAGTGTGAGGTTCATGATGAGCCACCAACACAGTCAGAATGAACATTATCACTTTCTTTTCCTCTCACAGTTTCAGCAGTGGGACAAACTGTAGAGACATCAGTGTGAAGAGAGCTCGGCTCAGGTACGGCTCGCTGCGCTGACGGCCCACAGGGGGCGCCGTGCAGGTGTTCCTGTCACGGCCGACGGTAACCTCGGGATGAGTCGAAGCGTTCAGAAAGCTTCTGTGTACTTAGTGTAATTAGTCCATGTAAACTGGAGGAGCCGCCCAAAGTGGTGACACGCTGCACCTACGAGTCTGACTTTGTGACAAAGTGAGGACGGATTTAAAAAGCGGCCCTTTGGGGCCTCGCATGCTATAACTCACTTCTCCACAAGAGGGCACTTAAGAGTTTTGCAGCTTTACAAAATGAGGACTGTTCAGAAAAAGCTGACTTTGCAGATTCTTACAAGTCAGACATCAAAGGGCCCCGAGTGGCTGTACTGTGGACGCCTTCCTGTCATTACTGAAACCAACGCTGTGGTTTCCAGACATCGGACTGCGTGAGGACGCGGCGGGAGGCTGAACTAAACGAAACCTGGGAAACGTGCGCCACACAAACACGGTGTTAAGATTCACTTTAAATGCACTTCTGTGCGCCCGGGTGACTGAAGAGCAGGTCAGTGTGCATCCAGCTTACATAATGGAAAAGATCACAGGTCATGGTGCTCGAACTGCTCAGAGGTCAGAGGTCACGTTAGTTTGACAGCCTGCTCACGACAACCGCACGTTTAAGCTGAGAGGCCGTCCCGCGGCGCTTCGATGACCTGGGAAGTTGGCGCGGCAGGAGGACATGCGGGCTGAACCGCAGGACGCGCCTTTATGGTCGATAGCACCGCCCACGTGTCGTGTGGCGTGCCACGTGACTCAGGTCTGCAGGCAGAGCGCCACCTCGCAGTGAAGCTGAACGAACGAGCAGCACGGCGCAGGTCCCCGCTCAGGTGTGTCTGTCACACTCGGGCCAGCGACGATCACACAAACACCTCCACCCGCTCCTCTGTCACTCCAACCCTCCGCACGTCCTCCTCCGTTCATGAACCTCCCCTGACGTCTTCCTCTTTTCCACCTGCCCGACTGGCCCATCTTCATTGTCCTTCGTCCATCAGAGCAGAGGGCGCCGTGTGCTGCGATTAGCTAGGAGAGGACACGCCCAGCACACAGACGCAGCTTCCAGCACGCCTAGTCCCAGCGTGAGCTCACTTCCTGTTCTCGCTGATTTTGAAATAAAACACGGAGGTTGTGTCCGTCTTCTTTATACAGTCTGTGGGAGATGAGCAGGTGCTGCAGGAAACACTGAAACACACACACACTTAATGCTGCACGCTTTATTAAACTCCTCCTACAAAAACACGATAGAAAAAGACTCAGACTCAAACACTGAACGTCGTACAGAGACGAAACACACTGTGAGGAAGCAGCGCCTCCTGCAGGACGCCACGGGTTACTACAGCCTCCCCGCTCCGTACTAAAGCTGTGATCGCTCACCTGCTCAGGTGTGTTTGTCGCCTCAGAGCTGCTCAAAATGACTCTGCCTCCATTTTTGTCGTTTGTCCAGCTCGTTACAAAAACATTAACGAGTGACGTCGTTGTGTCCGAATCGTCACATCGAACAGGCTGAAAACAGCAAAGACCGCCTACAAAAGCACTGATTGGATAACGCAGCAGCTGATGCCTCAGGGAGGCGGGTGGCGGTCACTGGGTGGTGCAGCAGGATGGAGGTGGAGGCGCTCCCTCGCCTCCTCTAAAATCACTCTAAGTGTCAAACATCACAGCCAGTGTGCAACAAACATCACGTGACACAAAGACGAGCTCTGATTGGTCGCTCAGAGAGCAAAAAAATAAAAATAGAAGAGGCAGAGGCGCGGCTCCTCCTCCTCACCACTCCTTCTTCTTCTCGTCCATGGAGACGCCCCCGGGCCCGAGCGCCACCACCAGCAGCAGGCCGCCGATCACCGAGGTGGTCTGGAAGAAGTCGTACTTCAGGAAGTCGTGCATGGGCGTGTAGGACGGCACGCTCCAGAAGGCGTTGATGGTGAAGTTGATGCAGAGCAGCCACGCCACCAGCGTGAGCGCCGCCAGCTTCGTCTTAAAGCCCACCGCCACCAGGACCATGAGCGCCGTCCCCACCACGTTCTGCAGGAACTGAACACAACACGCCGTCAGCACAAGGACGACGGTCACGCCCATAATTATTCAGACCCCCAAAGTTACTTTTATTCAACCTGCAAGTTTTCGTCTCCCAAACGATGTGGAGACGAGGCACCAGAGGCATCGCCGCCGCAAACACGCTTCTCTGCTTTTGTTCTCATTGGAGCAAAACGTGCCCCGCCCACAATCATTCACTCGTCTCAGTAATAGAAAAACCTTTAATAGTTATTACAGCAGACGAACGCGTCCTATAATCGCACGTCTCCACGTTTGCTCATTTGTCTTTAGCAGTGAGCTTTCAGGTCGGAGGGTCCCCTCGCCCTGATCTCTAGCTCCGCCCACAGTCTCTGCTGGACTCTGTGGGCGGAGCTGCTCAATGTTAATGTTTGTGTCTGCTAACCGTTTACTTTGCTGTGCTTTGGGTCGTTGTAGTGCTGAGCTGTCTGCTGCTGCCTGATGATGAGGAGGAGGATCTTCATGCTGTTTTTCGTGGTGGCGTTTCCTGTGATGAGCTTCCCCCCGACCCCCAGGGTGGCTGTAGCTCAGGTGGCAGAGCGGATCAGCCACTAACCAGAAGGTCGGTGGTTCGATCCCAGACTGTCCACCAAGCCGCTGCCCACTGAATCGGCTTGGACTGTTCGAACGGTGATTTTAGGACTGTGGATTTCCCAGAGACTGTGACAGTTTGTGAAGAGCGCGAGTCATTCTGGACACTTTTTGCTCAAATGTAAATAAAAGCGACGCCTCTGGTGCCTCGTCTTCTTCTCTTTTGGCAGACGCCCGTGTCATTTCCTGTCAAAAACAACTTGTTGGTTGAACAAAAGTAAGCTTCTGTCAAATCTTGCCAGGAGTTTGAATAATTACGTGGACACGTGTGGACACGTGTGGACACGTGTGGACACGTGTGGACACGTGTGGACACGTGTGGACACGTGTGGACACGTGTGGGTGTGACTCACGCTGAGCAGGCTGAGGTCAAAGTGCAGCAGCGTCATGAACATGAGGACGAGGAGGACGCGACCTCCCAGCTGCAGGAGGTGCTTCGGCGAGCTCTGATGTCCGAGGGAAGGAACTCCGGCGAACACGCTACGCGCCTCCCCCCTGCACTCTGCCAGGAGGAGGAGGAGGCCCCCGCCCAGCGCCAGGTTCCTGCAGAGGAGGACGAGGAGGATGAAGAACAGCAGATCATGTCTTTGTAGCTCCAACCTGCAGCGTCACGCAAACGTGCAGAACGAGCCGTTTCTGTCCACGACGTCGATAAAGTTATTTCAGAAAGGCGTGACAACTTACCTCATGAGGAACTTGAGGTCCCACAGGATGCTGTAAGCCACCATCTGCAGGTCACACAGAGTCACATGATCAGACTCACAGGTAACATTCTGGGACTCACCTGTTTGAAAGTTCACCTGCACCGTGTTGGCAGGACGAAACACGACCTTAACTTTTTCAGTTTAACAGATCTGACCAATCACAGCACTGCATTTGGCATCGAGTGCATGCGCAGCTGCAAACTCGCACCAGTGCTGAACACGCCTGACCACAGCGAGCTGCTGCTCCGGCTCAGCCGGCGCTGCGACATCAGAAACACAGACTAAAGCTTCCGCTCTGGATCCTCAGAGACTGCGCATACCAGCTAGCTCCTGTGTTCACTGAGATATTCAACATCTCTTTATCTCAGTCGGTGATCCCCACATGCTTCAAAGAGTCCATCATTGTTCCTGTCCCGAAGAAACCCCACCCTGCTTCTCTCAATGACTATCGCCCTGTAGCCCTCACCTCAGTAGTGATGAAGTGCTTTGAACGCCTGGTCAGAGACTTCATCATTTCTTCACTACCAGACACACTGGACCCACTACAGTTCGCTTACCGTCCAAATCGTTCCACAGACGATGCCATCTCTCATCTCCTCCACACATCACTCACTCACTTGGACACTAGAAGGGGGAATTATGTTAAAATGCTCTTCATAGACTACAGCTCTGCATTTAACACCATAATTCCCTCCACACTCACCACCAAGCTGGAGCATCTGGGACTCAGCTCATCTATGTGTCAGTGGATCTCCAACTTCCTAACTGGCAGACCACAGGCAGTAAGGATGGGCGGACATGTCTCAGCCTCCACCACTCTCAGCACTGGAGCCCCCCAGGGGTGTGTTCTGAGCCCCCTGCTGTACTCTTTGTACACATATGACTGTGTGGCCACTACCAGCTCCACCACCATCATCAAGTTTGCTGACGACACCGTCGTGGTGGGCCTGATCTCTGATAACAACGAGACGGCCTACCTGAAGGAGATTAGGAATCTGGAGAACTGGTGCCAGAGGAACAACCTCCTTCTAAACGTCAGTAAGACAAAGGAGCTGATAGTGGACTTCAGCACTAAGCAGGAGAGGAACTACCAGACCCCCGTCATCAACGAGTGCCCAGTGGAGAGAGTGGACAGCTTCAAATACCTCGGAGTTCACATCACGCAGGACCTGTCATGGTCCTGTCACATCAACACCGTGGTGAAAAAGGCCCGACAGCGTCTCTACCACCTCAGACGCTTGAGAGACTTCCAACTGCCCTCCAAGGTGCTCAGGAACTTTTACTCCTGCACCATAGAGAGCATCCTGACGGGAAACATCTTAACCTGGTTCGGGAACAGCACCATGCAGGACAGACGAGCTCTACAGAGGGTTGTGCGGTCAGCTGAGCGCACCATCCGCTCCGAGCTCCCTGACCTGCACTCAATCTACAGCAGGCGGTGCTGGACCAAGGCCAGGAAGATGGTGAAGGACCTCAGCCATCCCAACAACAGACTGTTCTCTCTGCTGAGGTCAGGAAAGCGATTCCGCTCCCTGAAGACCAACACAGAGAGACTGAGGAGGAGCTTCTTCCCGCAGGCGATACGGTCTCTCAATCACACCACCACACAGTACTGACCCACACATATGGTTCTTACACACACACTGGACTTTCTGGACTTTGGTTTTGCACAACACTGGTCACTATATTCTTCATTTCTGGTTAATACTTGTACAGCTGCTGTTATTGTGTATATATTTATTTATATTTAGATTCCTTCATACATTCTTATATAGTTCTATATTGTGTATTTTGTTGTACAGTTATTTTATTTTCAACTTTAATTTATATATTTTATCTTATTCTTCCCAGTTAAATTTACCCTTCATTCTAATTTGTGTTGTACAGTTATTTCATTTTTAACCTTAATTTATATTTTATTCCTTCCTAGTTAAATTTACCTTTTTAATTTTTCATATTTATTTCCTATCTTATTCATAGCCTTTTCCTTTTTTGTTCTCTTTAGGTCACGAGCAGTTGTCCAAGCATTTCACTACATATCGTACTGTGTATGACTGTGTACGTGACAAATAAAATTTGAATTTGAATTTGAATTTGGATCAAACCGGGAATCGTCCCGGCCGCTGCCTGCTCCCGCCACCTGGATCGTCCACGTTTCTTCCTTTTCTCCTTCGGAAACATCGTCACCTCTTCCTGTGCGCTCCACTTTACCCGGAAATCACAGCGCTTTCAACGTGTCTACAGTACACGCCCCCCCGCACACACACACGGTCAGCTGTGGCTCTTCTTTCAGAGACAAAGAACAAAACGTTTATGTTTCAAACAGGAAACGTTTACTCTGATTTATCATTTAAGACCACAGCAACTTCCTGTTTGGGAGTCTGAAGGCGTGACGGCGCAGTGAAAACCGACTGAAGCTCGCTGACCATCACGTCAAAAACCTGCAATACTAAACATGAAACACGTGTGTGTGTGTGTGTGTGTGTGTGTGTGTGTGTGTACCTGCAGAGCGATGATCCCAAACAGAGCGCCGCAGGCGTGCTGAACAAAGTTCCTGCTGAGGATCAACACGCAGCAGCCTGCAGACACACACGTGTTACATGTTTAATGTGGAACAACTGAGAGCTCTAAATCACCAATAATCAATCAATCAATCAGAGACTGGTGCAACAACCCAGGTGCTCGCAGAGATCATTACACACACATACGTATAAATGTACAGGCAGGGGACCTCTGTCCCTAACTGTCACCAGTGTGCGAGTCCTCGGAGCCCCGTCTGCATTCGGACCTGCTCGGATCACCACGGTTTTCATTAGATCCTAGTACCTGGTACCAGGTGCTTTAGCAGGTGCTCGGCCGGGGTTCCCAGCGATCTGAGCAGGTATTAAAGTGTGACATCATCAGACTGCATGGCACAGATTGGCTGGTCAGTAGCGTCAGTGTGACGAAGAGCTGCAGATCGAGCAGCAGGTACACCGTCGCCTCCACGTCCACCTTTGCTGTAGCGTTCGCCTTGCATACTAATTATGCTGCAGGACGCTCAGACACGTTGCTATGACGACAGCCACGCAGGTTAGGTAGTACCAGACAGTAATGAGAACCAGGTTAATGGAAAAGGGCCTCATATGTGTACAACGAGGTGTGAAACGCCCGTCCCCACAAGAAGGTGTCAGGGTTACAGTTAGGCTGGGCGTTCAGTGATGATGAGCATTTTGTCAATTAGATGAAAACGTGTGTGTGTGTGTGAGTGTTACCCAGCTGTCCCAGCAGGTTGATGAGGACGAAGAGGTTGGCGATGAAGAGGCCACAGCTCCAGGTGGAGTCGATATACTCGCTCTGCTCGCTCCACTGGAGCCACATCCTGATGCCGTCCTCGAGGAAGGTGCTGACCAGGCAGAGGCGGGCCACGTGGGGGAGGTAGTGTTTGGTCACCCGCAGGAACTAAAGCAGCGGGGTGATCAGCACACTGTTAGTCACTTTATTAATGTAGCACCGACTGCGTTTTTGTACATGCGGGGTTTAAAATACAAAGAGGCACCAAGAGCTGCAGTTCCTCTGACATCCAGCAGAGGCAGCAGTGAGTTGGTCCCCACAGACTCCCATGTTCAAACTTTGCAGCAGAAGTAAACATGTTTACAGCCGGACATCATGCTGCGAGGTCACTGTACTAACAGGCTGAAGCTAAAAATCAGCACAATGTTTCCTTAGATTAAAAACACATCAGCTGCTGATTCATGAGCCACAGCTTCAGGTAGACACGCCCACATATTTATTATTACTTTTAAAATACTTTAACTTGACTCTAACACGGTTGTTTAAATGTGGATTAACCAAGAAGATGATGATCATCGTGTGTGTTTCACGGCTGCGTGGAGGACGTGAGCTACCTGCTGCTGCAGCAACACTTTCTGTGTCGCTCCGTGGCGGAGGGTTACTTTCAGAACTTCCGGTCAGCTGCGCATTGATCGAACCAGACTCCGGTAACAGGTGTTTTCATTGAACCGTTCCCGGTTCGTCAGCAGTGATTCACGGCTGTGAGAAGAAACTATACCGCTCGGGCACGTCAGGACCCCGGCCTCGCCTCCGCGTGAGACCCAGCTGAACCACGAATTCGTTACTTTACTCTCAAACGTACATTTTTATAAAACATTTAAATGTTAATGTGTAAAGCAGCCCTGGAGCGATCAGAGCTCTCCTGAGGTCGAACATCATCTCAGAGGAAAGTCACCCATCATTATTTCCGTTTTCCTACAAGCTGCGAACGTTTCACCAGACTCGATTTAAAATCTGTCACGTTTCAACTTTCCTCGAGTCTCCACAGACACCGTTGGTTTGTAGAAAACACCTGAACACGATCATCCATCGTGTAAAGTCGTTCTTCATTTCGGCCAACAGAACAACTCAATAAAGATCGCATTTTTGGTGTTTTAGTGAGAATGAATCTGCACCACGGTCTTTCCTGTTCCAGCCTCCCGATGACGAAATCTGCTGCTTTGCTTCAAACTTCATGAAAGTTCATTTTAAAGCAACGAAGCTGTTCCGGGGAGCAGCTGGCCTCTGCTTTTCGAGCTGACTAAACTTGTTTTGCAGCAGAAATCACCGAGCTTTCAACAACCAGATGTTTGCGATAACCGGACCGAGTCCCAGCTCAGCGTGTCGCCGCTCCGGGTGCGCGAGCTTACCTGGTCCGCCACATCCTCCGCCTGGCTCATGAGGTCTCCGTGTCCCATCTCTGGCTCCGACGGTAAGGCACTTCAGTGCGGAAAAGCAGCTGCCAGCTCACGTCCCGGTCCGGTCCGCAGTGATGATGAAGATGCCCCGCTGCTGCCTCCTCCGACCCACAATCCTCCGCCCTGAGCAGGTAGGGCGCCCCCTGCGGCCGGGCTGGGTACAGCATGCCACGTGGACCGGTGTTCTGACAAAACGTCCTACCTAAGTAGTTTATGCACATTTGTGCTGTCAGCGCAAATGTAAGTAGGTATGACGGTTTGCCACTTAACTTTGCCCATCAGAGTATGTTTCTAGCTCTTATTAACAAAGGTAGGATGATTTGCCACTGAATTTCGTGTTGTGCGCATGCGTAGAAACAACGGGTAGGATGGATTCCCAGAACATCGGAACATGAAAGTTTAACCCAGCTCAGATGTGACCCGAACACGTCGGTGGTTCTTGTTCTTTCACGTGGGCTGTGGGGATGTAGAAACACAATGAACATGATGCACGGCTGAGCCACCAGGGGGCGCTGAATGACATAAACACTGATAACTCTGCAGGATGAATAACAGTGTGATCGTTTCATTCTCTCATAATGGTAATAATTTATTTAACGAAACAGAAGTGTTAATAACCGTTTTATGACATCACACACCACGAGAAACAAAGCCGGTTATGAAAACATGATTTATTAATGTTTGCATATTAACAACGATGAAACTGACGGCTGTCAGTCATTGTGCAGGTGTCAGGTGGAAACCTGCAGCTGTGAAACGTTTCTCTCACTGCAAACAGAACACACATGGACAGCAGTCCACCTGTGACCTGCAGCTCCTGCAGCAGCCACCAGTCAAACAAAAGAAAGGTGATCAGAGCTCCACCTGGATGCAGCAATGCATTGTGGGACATGGTGAGGCGGTCAGGGTGGAGCAGATCGGTCCTTGTCCCTCTGTCCTCGCCGCCTCCTCCTTTGAGCACGGTGTCTCTAAAACAACAAACAACAGGCAGCTGGGTTACCTGTGTGTGTGTCTTCCTGTCTAGCTATCTTTGCGAGGACCGAAATCTGCATTTACCATACTTGTGAGAACCAACAGTCACTTGTGAGGACACACAACCTGGTCCTCACAAATTTGAAGCATTTTTGAGGCTCCAAATGTGGTTTTAGTGTCAGGGTTACAGCTAGGCTAGGGTCAGGCATTCATTTTTAATATGGGGCTAGGGAAAGCATGTCAAGGAAGGTCCTCACTAAAATAGCTGAACGGGGTTGTGTGTGTGTGTGTGTGTGTGTGTTAGTATTAGAGTGAAACCTGCAGGTACAGGTGAGATGAGGTCACCTGTCAGGTTCCCTCCTCCTGTGTGGTCTTTAGCTCGACTGCAGCAGCTCTGAGCTTTCACTCTGGGCTGTACCTGCTGCACAGGTGCGTCTGTGCTGCTGCAGGGACATTAGCTCACCTGTGACTGTCCACATATTTATGCTGCGCACTCTTCGCTGACACACCTGTTACATACATGAAGTTAGTCATTAAATATAAAGCAGATATGTACCTGCAAGTGGAGGTAGTGTGTGCGTGTCCTGCAGTGTGCGTGTCGAGCTGCAGCTTCACTGTAGAAAAACTTTTTGCAGAGTCGACACATGAAGCCACAAACGGGAACCACAAAACTGCTTCCTGTGGGGACAGAGAGTAAAGCGTCACTTCCTGTTTGTCGCAGAGACACGAGACAAAATCCACAGACACACTGATCTACGCCTTCTGGATTTTCTCTCTACAGATCGTCCACCGGGGGGCGACAAAGCTCCATCAGCTGGTTTCGACCTCCGGGACGTACCGCACGCCGTGCTGGGGTCATACTCTGCTCGCCGCTTGTCCTCCTCTTCCTCAGCCACCTGAAACAGTTTAAAGTCGTCACTCCTGAATCGTGATTTCACTCGACGCCACAGGACGTCCTGATTTTACCTTTTCCTTTGTTGCTGCATCCTCTTCCTCGTCAGCTACATCCACTTCTTCCTCCACCACCGCCCCCTCCTCCTCTTCCTCCCCCTCCTCCTCGAAGCAGCCGACAGCATCCACAGTGATGAGCTCCTCCTCCTGAGCCTCCTCCAGGAGCACCTGGGAGGAAACAGGAAACATCAGCTGTCCCACAGAGGGGCGGGACATCCTGCTGAGCAGCGCCCCACAGAGTGGATCCCGCCGTTGACGGTCACGCGGACAGTCGTTGCTTCGGTTTGTTTCACTGAAGTTTTTAGTGAACACAGACTCAGGATACACGTCACCACCAGCGTCTGCGACACTGACCACCTGACAGCCACAGCCATTGGCTTCCTGCTGTCACCTGACTGCCGACGCCCTCACTCACCTGCTGTTTATGTTCCGATGACTTCATGTGCTCCACAAACTTCCTGGGCGTCCTGAAGTGACGTCCGCACACCGGACAGAAGGGCCGGCAAAGCTGCTTGCACATCTGGAACGAACACACACACACACACACACACACACACACACACAGTCTTCTATTGACATTTTAATCTGCACAGTTGGCAAGTACACTGACAGTAAAGGGCTATTCTATTCTACTCTGATCTCTGTTGGGTAAGGAGGCGTGTCTGCGCTGATACGTCATCATCACGTCTCACTCTCACCTTGTGTCGTTTGGTCCGCCGATGAATGATGACATCACCGCTGAAGTGAGTCTGACAGGTGTCACACCAGCGCTGCGACTCACGGCGGCGCCCCCTGCTGGCAGAGTGACACACCTGAAGGTTTTCAAACTAAACAAATCAGAGCCCCTGATCTGTGTGTGTGTGTGTTCACCTGTCCTGCGGTGTGTGTGTGTTGAGGTGGATGCAGTGTGTGATCTCCTGCAGCTTCTTCACGTGTTCAGGTCCTGCCATGTGCTCCTGAAACAGCTGGAAATAAACAGAGCACACCTGTAGACACCTGTGCACGTCCACCTGTCACATGACCTGACATCCACAGCTGGTGCAGATGTGCAGACTGAGGTTGGTGACGTTGTGTCTGGTCAGCTGTTCGTCACAGAGCTCAAGTTATTACAGGTGTGTCTGGATGAAGCCACCTGATTGGTCAGGACTCACAGCGACGGCTGCAGAGCCAAGCTCACCTGTTCCAGGACGTGCAGCAGTGGCATCGCATTATTCATCATCAAAGCACTGAGGGAGGGGCACGAACCGCGCTCTGACCTCTGTGGTCCAGGTGTAACTGGCTGCTCTTCACTACTGTTTCCCCTTCTGTTTACCTCGCGTGTCTGAATTTACAGTTTTTCATTTTGCAAAATCATCATGCAGAGCTCGGGTGCATCCCTGCTCCTGTTTCCCACCTGCAGACAGTCTTTACGCTGCCGCCTGCCTTTGGTGGCTTTTTGGCAGAACTGTAACGTTCAGCAGTCGCCTCAGTGTTCTCTCACACAACAAAACTACACGCTAACCATATGCTGACTGTACTCCAAACACGCTAAACGTCGCTAATCTTTCACATCTCAAAACTCTCTTTTTATCTCGCTCTCTCTCTCTCGCCGTCGTACTCCAAAAACTCCTCCCTCTTCCTAAACGACCTAATGTCACGTGTTGCTATATCATTTTTTAATTGGTCAACATGGTACATTTTTCCACCAATAGGAAAGGGTCGCAGGAGCGCGTTCCTTAGAAAACACCCGTTTTGTCTGCAGTTCGTGGCGGCTTTGAAGATGATGCTGCTGCGTCGGCCATGTTTGTCGGGTCATCCGTTGTTTTAAATCGGCTGCTAGTCGATCGATGAGCCTCGGAGCGTTCACAGCCGCTCGCTGCTGTCAGTGACTCTGACTTTAAAACAGGAAGCAGGTGCATGCGCTAACTGGGCAGAGGCAACAGCAAATGTTTCCAGATGTTAGCAAAGACTTGCTGTGGAGAAAGCTGTGGATGTCCTGAGTAGGGGTGGGTTTTTATAATCCATTCATTAAAATCCTGAATCGATTTTTTAACATAAATTTATTTTGCCCGAAACGCCAGAACCTCAGGTGAAACCTCACAAAATTTCAACAACCACCAAACAGCTAAAACAGTAAATGAGAGCAGGAACACGATTCTGCACGGAGACGTGAACACACAGCGCGGAGCCGCGGATCAGAGTCAGCGAGATGTGACTTTGGGGGCAGGGATAGCTCAGTAGGTAAAGTGGTCGCCCCATGATCGGAAGGTCGGCGGTTCGAATCCACTTAACGGCTACCCTGAGGTACCCCTGAGCAAGGTACCGTCCCTACACACTGCTCCCCGGGCGCCTGCTTAGTGGGCTGCCCACTGCTTCACTGAGTGAATGGGTCAAATGCAGAGAAAAACAAGTAATTTCCCCATGGGGATCAATAAAGTATCCATTATTATTATTATTATTATTATTACTTTCTGACCGACGGCACGGACACGGTCGGGGCTGAATGCCGACAGCTCGCTGATGCTGATGTTTCAGCGGGTCGGCGCTTTGTGTTCACGCCCTTTTTGCGCCGATTCTAAAGCTGTTAGTTTATCTCTCTCCAAACAACACTGACCGAACCAGGATAAAATCTCACTTCATGCACAGCTCTCTCGCTCTCTGTTTCCTGCATTATTCGCTTGCTTGTTACGCACCAGTCTACTGTTGTTTACAGGCTGTCGGTCGCTGTTTTGTTTTTTCGTTTACATACTTCTGAAAAGAAAACCTCATTTCTGCCGTTCAATACTGAACAAATTTAAACTTTCTAAAATTATGCAAAATGTAAAACGCCGTGTCTCTAATAAAACCGCTGTAACTTCAGAGGTAATGTTCATATGTTGATTCATGGTTTTCTTTCATTTTTGATGTACTGCAGAACATTTTTATAAAATCCAGAACAGGAAAATCTCCTTCATGTTTCTGTGTTTTATCTTCAGCTACTTTGACACAAAGGCCTCACTGTGACGCTCACACCTGTGATAAAGTCTTGCGTGTGTCAGCTTCCTTTTTATTGATACAAAAATATGTAAATGTACTGATCTGAATTATAATATTTCTGACTGTCAAAATTTCCCAGATTCAAATCGAATTTAATCGAATCGATTCTAGAAATCAGTGACGACACCCAGCCCTAGTCCTGAGTGTGCTGAGGACACCTGACTCAGGTAAGACTGAACGAGGCAGAGGAAGAAGAAGAAGAGCCGAGGGTTTCTTACCAGGAGAGAGCGACACGTGAGGTCACAGACGTGACAGTGGAGTCCGCCCGTCTGTCTCTCGGCCGTCCTGTCCGTCTGTCCAAACTCTCGGCTCTCGCTGCTCTGCTGGATGGTGACCTTCAGTGACCCCACGCCCTGCAGCTATAAACACATCACGGTAGGTTACCTGACAGTCAGGTGTGTCTCCGTTACTCTGTGGTTCCGACTGCAGATGGAGCATCGCATGGTTCTTTACCTCGGCCACTCTGCTGTCCTCGCTGTCCTCTGCTGCCCCCTGCTGGCCGGGAGGAGGAACATCTGGTGACACAGAGAGGGAAGCTTTATCAATCCGCAGCACAGGACTGAAAATCAGCCTGAAGGATGCCACAGAGACACCCCTGCCGCTGGAGCACATGACCCGGGGACTCTGCTGGGCGGAGCAGCGTCGTCCTCCATCCTGTGAAAAACATCAAAAACACACCGAGTGAGTCGAGTTCCTCAGATGTCAGACAGTGACGTCGTTTGTTCCTAGCAGACGACCTCCCAACCTTGCTCGCTTTGAATCCGATTCTTCTGATCCTCCCTCCAACCCCACGCCTCCAGGCTGGCTCGGCCCATCAGCACCCCTCTCTTCTTCTGTGGCGGTGGAGCTGCAGCGTGGCCAGCTCTCAGTACTTCCTGTTTCTGACGCCTGGACAAACACAAGGCATTAAACCAGCAGGAGCTGGGGCTGCAGCGGGGACGGGGAGGCAGAGTCTGTTTTGGGTACCTGCTGGGGTGGAGGCGGCCTCCTCTGAGCAGCACAGACAGGGAATCGAACCCTCGCCAATGCACTTCCTGCAGTGGGTATAAAACACCTGCAGGTGGAGACCAACATGTGAAGCAGCGTTTATCAGCAGCACCCACAATGCATTTCACCTTTGTTAAGGTTCAAAATATTGGGGATGGAGACAAGAGAAAAACCACAATAACAACACTGGTCCGGTCGGGTTGAGTCAAACGATGATTTAATGATCACACACGTGGGAGATGGACACTGATGCAGACAGCCTCAAAATCTCAAAATGGTGGAGCATTGCTCAAACTTTTATAACCTCTGGTGCCTCCACCTTATCATACAAAGCATAAACATTCACATGCCTTCTCTCACACAGCGCCTAAGCTACGACCTTGGCTCCCTGTTTATCTGCTCCTGCTGAAATGGGGCAGAAAACTCCAGTATGTTCTCTTCTACTCAGACAAATTAGATTTCTTATAACTCAGCAGTATAATGCATCATAAAACAATATCATTCATTCACAACAAGTCAGCAGTTTAATGTAATGCAAATCAGTTTAACTAATGCAATAGTTATCAGCTTCTTCTAATTCAGGAGAATAATGCAAACTAAAACTACATAATAATTCACAATCTTTAATTAGGGGTATAACATGGCATAAAATAATATTATAATCTAACACCTTCTATAAGTTTATCACACATTCAAATCCACGACAGACGTCTGAACCGTCACGCCTGCTCTGAAAGACCTGACATGTGTGTCAGGTTCAAGTCAGAGAAACAACACCTGACACAGGTAACTCACCTGTCTGTCCTCTGTGGCTGTTTGACCATGATGAAGGCGTGCTGACCTCTGACCTCTCAGCAGCTGTACCTGCAAAGATGAAGTTTCTCCTCTGACGTCCGTCATATATGAATGTAAAGCAGTTTTCTTACAGATTCATAACGTGTCTGAATGATTTTAATATGAATTCTGGGAATCAGCCGATAAACAAACCAGCTTTAAATCAGCACATTAAACAGAAATCTGGCACTAAATCAAACCGCAGTTCAAGGACAAGCAGAGGGAGGAGACTTTTGTCATTTCCAAGTCTTTAACATTACAGGCTTCACTTCTGTCACGGAGCTCATTACAAACCTCGAAGCGTAAAGCCGCGGAGAATCAGGTCTGCTATTTGGTGTGTAAGCCGAATTAAAACCGGGCTTTTAGAGACTCGTAATATGTCTTTATAAATTTCTTATCTGAAACTTTACTCAATCAGCAACGAAACAAACAATAAATTAGTACATTTTCAACAGAGACATCCCACTACTAGCTATTAGGCTAACAAGCTAAACTAACGTCTCCAAACAAACACAGTCTGACTTTAAACTTTTTCCTCTATCGTCCTGTTTAAAGACACGAACTAGTTTAATAATCAGAGTTTACACGTTTAAATTGAACTCCAGGTTACTTTAGCTCACCTTAATGTTCAGCAGATGCTAAAGCTAGCTCAGTTACAAGTAAACACATACTGACGATGATACTTGTGTCTTCTGTCGCCCCCTGCCGGCGCGGAGGAAGACATGCGGCCAGCTGAGGAACTACAGGGTTCAGATCCTGGGCCATCTGATCTCAGGAATTCGCATGATAAGGTGGGGCCAGGTTTCACAATGAGCTTACCTGAAACTCTGGCTGATTGGGGCCCACACCCAGTTTCCCACCTTGGCTCAGGCGATTAGAGGATCATCAGGGGGTCCTTTTGTCCCTCTGTGGGGGGTCACTCCCACTAGGTTTATATCTGGGACTCTCCACCATTTGACCTTAGAACTGAAGAAGCTTCTCGGATGAGAGGTGAAACGTCTTCAAGCAACTTAAAGAAGTCCAGACGCTTTTCTTTGCAGCTCCTTTGACTACGATGACCTGGATGACTGAGAACCTTCACAGACATACAGGGTTCAGAGGTACACGGAATCATCTGTGCACGTTTATATTTGTGCTGTTTTCTGCTACAGTCGGCTTTTCAGAATTCTTTTTTCTGTGTTTCTGTTTCTTCCCAGTCACCAAAAACATTTCAGAAATAACAGATGGGCTGCAGATTTATCCAATAAATTCAGTTAACAGCAAGAAACAGTAAGTAAACTGCATAAAGAGCAAAAATGCAGTTTGTGTTTTTAGTTATTGTTTAATTTTTAATTTATTGTAAATATTGTGCATAATAAAAATAAATTTAATTAATAAAAAGTGAAATGTTTTTTTTTATAGCTTTTGTGTATTTTACAACAGTTTTGGATTACATTGGTGATCAATGTGCATCACCCCTAAAATAAAACAAAATAGAATCTGTGCCTAGGCTGCGTATATTTGCATGTAGCAGTGAGTAAAACAATAAATGAAGTAGAGTGTTGTTTCTTCAGCTGTGTTTCGTGGCCTCTGATTGGCTGGTCTGGAAGTCTGGTAGTTATTTGCAGCTTGTGGTAAATCTGCTGGAATTTCCTGGAGAAGAGCCGCAGTGTGTCGCAGACAGGAAGCACTTCCTGAGATGATCTCTCAGAGATTTATGGCGGAATAAAAGCGTCTGAGTGTGAACGGTAATGTTTCTGACAGAGAGCAGCAGTCGTTATATTTCATCTTTCTGCTGTGTCACGTTGGGCTCAGCTGCTGTAACGTCTCACAGTAATCATCCCAGCGCTGACGGATGTACAGCTGAGGTTCTGATCCTGGACAAATGCAAGACTCCTGGAGGTCGTGCCTCCCTGTCGTCATTATTTTGATATGAGTGACGTGATGATGCCAATAAGCAAAGCAGCTGATGTCTTTATAGCAGCACACACACACACACAGTTGTTTTCATATCTTAGTGGGGACATCTAACTGACATAATGCCTTCCCTAGCTGCTTACTCTAACCATAACCTAACTGTAACCCTGACACTAAAACCACGTTTCAAAAACAAAGTGCTGAGCTTTTTAAACGTGTTGTGTTGGGCTCGGGCTGCAGGACCTCCTGAAACAGGCCGGACTGAACCAGATTTAGATTCTTGGAAGTCGGAGTTCCTCTGAGACAGCAGCTGGAATGAAATCCTCTCCATGCATCTGTCTGACATTCACAGGAAACTGAAGCAACATGTGGTGAAACGATCAGCCAGAAGCAAAGCCAGGCCGTGCTCCAGCTGCTCTGAAGCCTCCACGTTCCATTCAGGCTCCTCAGCACCGTTAGCCTTCAGGACTGAAACATGAAGCACCAAAGCCTGCAGTTCCTCTAGCATCCAGCAGAGGCAGTAGTGAGTCAATCCACACCAGTGACTGTAGAAAACATGGGCTGTATCCCAATTCAGGGTCTGCAGCCTTAAAGGCCGCATTTTAAGGCCGATTACGGCATTAATTAGTTAGATGCCTTCTAACTAATAGCCTGCTAGCTAGCTTGGTTAGAAGCTAGCTAGCAGGAGTTGATAACTCCCTCTCTTGCCCAAATAAATTCATTTGAGGTTGCAAGAACCCAAAATGGTACTAGCCCAAACTGAAATGCCCCTTTTTAGAGTTAACTGGGCAAGCACTGCCCACCCTGCTTGCCCAGACATGCACTGGAAGGAGGAAAAACTGTCTATAACCTCAGTGCTATGAGTGAAAATGTGAAGGTCTGTTAGAGGCCAGAGGTCAGTTTGTAAACCTTTATTCATAATTTTAAAAAAAGTTTCACACAACAGATCTGACAGGAGACGCAGGCTCGAACGCCCAGCACGCCAAGTGTCCATGTCACTGCCCCGTGTGATGTCAGAGTAATGTTCGCATATACAGAGAAGAAGAAAATCAGAGACGCCTGTACAGAGGAGGTGACATCATGAAGCTCAGTAGATGTCCTGGTCATAGTCTGCGATGTCCATCGGCTGCTTCCTGTCACTGTTAGCCAGGTAGGACGACAGCTCCTCTGACAGAGCCGCAGACAGGTGGAGACAGAGACACGTCAGTGAGACAAACCCGAGTCTTTTAGTTTCCGTTTCTCCCATTTCAAACGCCTGTCTCACCTGCTCCCAGCACTCCCAGTACAGCCGAGGCCGAGGCCGTCCCCAGGTTGTTACGAGCTGTGCAGCGATAGGTCCCAGAGTCCCCCGTCTCCGCCCCCTCAATCTGCAGCCAGCTGGAGACCTCGAACTTCAGAGGACCGCCTCGAGACTGCGAGAGAGACAATCAGACAGGTACTGAAATCTGTCCCAGAGGGGCGGGGCTGCAGGCTCAGGCGCACGTGTACCTGGACGGAGATGTGCGGGTCGTCTCCGGGCAGGACGACGTCTCGTCCCTCCTTCGTCCACTCGACCAACGCCATCGGAAACGCAAACACTTCACAGAGAAAGATGAGACTGCTGCCCGTCCCGTTCACCTGACTGTGAGGAGGCACCTTAATGACCGGCACTGCCACAGGTGAGAGAGAGGTTAGGCTGGGCGGAGCAGAAATCTCAGACTGTGTGTGTCAGTCATTACATGTGAGGAGCGATCAGCTGACTGATGACCTCAGAGAGCTCACATACAGAGATGAGATGACCTCTGACCTGCAGTTTTACTCTGTGCTGATTTCAGGTGTGTGTGCTCGTGTTTTTGGGCCCTCTGGGGTCCCGTAGGCGCTCAGTGTGAGGCGACCGTTTCCTGGATGAAACGTGAGTTCGCCCCTTTGCTCGATATCTGACGTCTGCTCTTCGTTTCCATTTTTAACTGAAGCCGTGCACGCCTGACCTCTGAACTCTAATGCAGATAAAATGGCGCTCAGCTTGTGGAGCTCAACACATCAAAACAGCTAAACCAGCTCGGCCTGGGCTCCTCCTCTTTACTCCGAGGGCTAAACCACAGAGACGGGGTGAACTGAGGAACTCATCATCATCATCATCATCAATAGAGCAAGCGCAATCGTATAAATATTTCAGGACCATGATCAATGAAAACTGAACTGCAATGAGAATTGCAAATCAGTCTGCAGAAAGGGTCACAGCGCATTTACTGCGTCAGAAAACCTGCTCATTTCCACACTGACCGAACTATTTGAACTTTGTTGCGTGGTTCGGTCACACCTCTGTCACAGAGCAAACTCACTGGTGGTCTGACAGGTGAGTCACAGCCCTGTTTACCTGCCTGTACTCTAAACAGGTACAGACGATGCTTTATCACTTCTTAATAATGGCTCCATCCTCTACGGGGTCAATTTCAGCTTCTTGCCTCAGAATATGTGTGTGTCCGGTTTAAATATGTGTGCTGTTTTGTGAAAGGAAGCCAAACGATGTCATTCCCCTATAAAGCAAATTTACCTGCAGGTAAAAGTAAAGGAATCATCACCATTATCATCACATGTGAGCTCTCCCAACATATGTACCTTTAAAAATATGAATGAATGAGGTGAGCAGTGGAACAGCAGGTGGTTACCTGCCCTGCGGCTCCCACCTGTCCTGCCTCAGGTGTTCCTACCTGTCCTGCAGGGGCCCCTCCCCGCGGTGTGGAGCTCGGGTGTGGAATAGACGGCCTCCCTCAGCTGACACATGTTCATGTATGTTCTCCCGTCAGAGCCGCACACCGGCTCCTGCTCCTCACACACGCACTCCTCCTCTTCATCCTCTCCTCCTCCTCCTCCCGCCTCACACCGCAGTCCGCTCCCACACAGCCCGTAGAACACGCTCCGGTTCCCGGGGTCGCAGGGCTGGCCCTCTAGGTTCCCGCACTCCAGGCAGCAGCCGCAGGAGTCCGGCACCAGCCCGGCCCGGCAGCCGCCGGGCAGCGAGCACCGGTCCGGCTGGCACGGCCCGCAGAGCCCCGGCGGCGCTCTGCACGGGCGGAGGCTCAGCCAGAGACAGAGCAGCACCAGAGTCCGCATCTTCATCCGCCGGTACCGGCGGGACTCTGACCGGGAACAGAGACACAACAGAGCCCGGGCTCACACCGGCATCCCCCGCGTCAGACACCGACAGCCTCCGGTCAGAGTCTCGGTAGAGTCTCTGGTTCAGTCCCGGTAGTGTCGTTCAGCGTCCCGGGCTGCTGACGGGCTTTCTGTCTGTGGCAGGTTTGAACAGCTGAGCTGCTCGCGCTGCTTCACTGCACACACGCGCCAGACGCCGCTGTCACGTGTGTCACAATGGACGCAAACAACAGACAGGTTCCGGTTTGACCTTTCAAAGTAAAACATCGTTACAGAGAGAACAGCAGCTCAGACTCTTCATATTCAAATCAAATCAAATCAAATCACTTTTATTGTCACATCACATGTGCAGGTACATTGGTACAGCACATGTGAGTGAAATTCTTGTGTGCGAGCTTCACAAGCAACAGAGTTGTGCAAAATACAATAATGTAAACAAGCAAAATACAAGAATGGCTACATCTGAAACTAATAAATATATGTACAATATATAATAGTATATGCATTTCTGGATGTGTATACTAAATATTTTTCTACGTGTGTGTGTGTGTGTGTGTGTGTGTGTGTGTGTGTGTGTGTGTGTGTGTGTGTGTGTATATACACATATTTTACAAATTAAATAGAGTAAACAATAAATAAAATATATAAAATAAAATATACAGAGTTGAATATGTGCAAAACAGTGGCATTACTGTACAGTATGGAGTGCATAATGTTAAAGTTCCAGTAGTGAAGCTGAGGTGTCTATGAAGTGTTCAGCAGTCTGATGGCCTGATGGAAGAAGCTGTCTCTCAGTCTGCTGGTTCGGGACCGGATGCTGCAGAACCTCCTTCCTGATGGAAGCAGTCTGAACAGTTTATGGCTGGGGTGACTGGATTCAGGCCACTAAATTTGGGATTTGGCACCAAGAAAAATCTATTTAAACTAAAATCCAGCACTCTGAGCTCAGAGCAGGGATCTGAGGCTCCACCCACTCATGCCCACTCATCACCACCCTGCAGTTCCTCTGACGTCCAGCAGAGGCAGCAGTGAGTGAGTTCCATGTTAAAACTTTAAAGCAGAAATAAACATGTTTACAGCCGGATACACAAACTGTTGGGTCTCTAAGATCATTTTAAAGCTTCCATTATTAGGGGGCGTGGCCTCTTTGACTGACAGGTGGATGGTGACACAGGTGGCTGTAGCTGCTTGCTTCACCTAAGCTGGACCTCTGGACTGTGTTTATGCTTCTGGAGCATCTTTACTGACATCATGTGACCAATAACATGGCTGCCATGAGGACACTGTTTGAGGAGGCTATACCAGAGTTTTTTGTTTTTGTTTTTTTTTTAACTTTTTATTTTCATTTTTTAAATTGAAAATGAACAACAAACAAACAGAAACAAACAATAAAAGACGTTTACAGTTATGGGACAAAGTATCATCAACTAGCCAAAGCTTGACTGGTCATTATGACCAAAAAAAAAAAAAAAAAATTCTCAGGAACACACTCTAGTATCTTTATCTTTCTAACATTGCCTCACCCATCTGAGGACCGAACACAGAAAATACGGGCGTATTAATAATAATAATAAAAAATAATAATTATAATAGTAACAGTATTAGTAATTAAAGAAATTTAAAAAAAAAAAAAAAAAAAAAAAAAGAAAAACATATCGTGTGAACCCCTCCCACCATCCCCCCACCCCTTTACCCCTGTATAGCTCTCAACTTCATCACATTCGTGTATACAAACAGCCCATATTTACACCCGTCTATACACAAGAATCAGCACAACATTCAAGAACTCTGATCAGAAGGGCCTAACCGAAGATCAATTCAGGGTAAACCCAGAGGAATTTACATCATCTCTATATTCTCTCAAGTCCAAAGACGGTAATACTGAAAGAAATGGTCCCCAAATTTTTTTAAAGGTTCCGTATTTCCCTTTTACACTATGCGATATCTTCTCAGGTGTACAGTAGGATGCTAACTCATTAATCCAATATCTCAGTGTTGGAGAATTTTCAGATTTCCAATGTGTCAGAATACATTTTTTAACTGCAGTACTTGCAAGTAAAATAAAATATTTCTTGTGGTAATCCACGTTTATAGAATCTATGTCACCTAAAATCCATAGTTTTGGGTCCATTTCGACTTGGATCCCAATTACCCTTGAAATTATTTCAGTGATCCGTCTCCAGAACTCCTCTATTACTGGGCAATTCCACATCATATGAAGGAGATCACCATCTATCACCTTACATCTCAAACATTTGGGAGAGTAATTAATATCAATTTTATGTAATCTGTAAGGTGTATAATATGTCCTGTGGAATATATTAAATTGCATTTGTCTATGATTTGTGGAAATTAACATGGTCTGTGCCTGTTCCATTAGATGGTACCATTCTACCTCTTCATAGACATAGCCCAGATCTGCCTCCCATTTTCTTTTCAGAGCCGTTTTGTTGTAGTCAGGTAATTTTTCATTAATAATAGTGTATATTGAAGATGCTATTCCTTTTATTGACTTCCATGGTTTGGTGCAAAGATGCGTTTCAAAAGGACTTTCTTTAGGAATTATACCAGAGTTTTAATCAGTCTGTGTGATGCTCCTGTACAGAAAGGGTCACCTTTGGATTCACCTGAGATTTTGAGCTTCACAAACCTGAGGTTTCTGTACAAGATAAGATAGAAGATAGAACTTTATTAATCCCTCGGGTGGGTTCCTCTGGGAAATTCGGTACAAGTAAAAAGCTGCCTTTGGTCTGATCACGTGGAAAAAATTTGAATGCATGTGTAACTGAAAAATCTCCAAAATGAAATGACAACAAAATGAAAACTTCATACCTGACCTGCACTTCCTCAGAGCAGGTAAGGTTCAGTCTGCAAGAATGAACACGTTCCAACTTTTATTCTGAAAGTCCAGTACTCTGACTTCCTGTCTCGGTGTCTGACCTGACAGTCTCTGAGCAGCTGAGCAGCCTGCCGGCTTCCCCCACAAACAGCAAAAACGAAGGCAGCTGTTAAACTCATCCTGAGGCTGAAGCTGGGCTTTACAGAGTGGAGGCTCCCAGGGTCCTCCAGGAGGTTCAGGAGAACCCCGGGACCTGCTGGGGCCTCAGAGGTCGCAGTGGGGGTGAATGTGATTCAGGTGTCATTCAGCAGCAGTTCCTGAGTAAACGTGTTGGTTTGTCTCCTCAGCAGCACCAAAGCGACTCAGGAAATAAAGCAGCGGCGGTGGTGCAGGTTTTGGGCGTGGCGCCCTGCTGGCAGACAGGAATAGAACCGTAATGGAGGGTTTAAAATGACGTGTCTGCAGGCTTTTTTTACACTCTCGTGCTCTCGCACTGTGCCTGTGTCCCAATTCAGGGTCTGCACGCTTGAAGTACGCGCACTACGCGTACTACGTACGGTGCGTACTATAAGTACGAGAAGTACGGAAGTGAGAGGCTTGTGAAATGGGACGGTCTAGCCTTCGTCCCGCTGTTCAGGTTGCCTAGCAACCATGATACTAACCGAGAGACACGTTACATACAGCTTTGTGGGCGACCGTGGCTCAGGGGGTTGGGAAGCGTATCTGTAACCGGAAGGTTGCCGGTTCGATCCCCGGGCTCTCTTTCCTGGTCGTTGTGTCCTTGGGCAAGACACTTTACCCTACCGTCTACTGGTGTTGGCCAGAGGGGCCGATGGCGCGATATGGCAGCCTCGCTTCTGTCAGTCTGCCCCAGGGCAGCTGTGGCTACAACCGTAGCTGCCTCCACCAGTGTGTGAATGTGAGAGTGACTGAATAGTGGTATTGTAAAGCGCTTTGGGTGCCTTGAAAAGCCCTATACCCCACTCCTGGTATAATTTGGAGCCTCATGACTGGTAAACTGAAATGTATCTATGGAAAAGCCCTATATAAATCCAATCCATTATTATTATTATTGTGTGACAGAAATGAAGGAGAAAAATGTTTTGTTGGTCATTCATTTTTGTCATGACATCACTTTGATTAGTTGAGTATCTGAGGCTGAGACCACAGGACTGTAAACATGATTGTTGGGCTTCATGTCTGTGCTGAACAGTCATTTAAGATTAGCTAGTAAATGACAATTAGCTAATGTTGCTCATGAGACTAAAGTCATCTCACTGTCGTGATGTAAATATAATATGGCCAATATTATAGTATTGTCAGATTATTATGAGATATATATATATGCATATATATATGCATATATATATATGCATATATATATATGCATATATATATATGCATATATATATATATATATATAGTCAAGCGTGCAGACTCTGAATTGGGACAGAGCCAGAGTGTGTGTGAGCCTGGTCTTTACCTGAGCAGGTGTGCGTGTTTCACCTGCGGGACGTGATCAGTCCTGAAAACCAGCATGGAGGAGTTTTTACTTCTCTTCATGCAGCAGCTGCTAAAGCAAGTTTTTTAGCTCCTCCCTCATTCAGAGCAACGTTATTCTGATTGGCTGCCCATCCTGAACAGGAACTTTGAATCCCCCTTCTATGCAGTGCACAGTGATCTGACGACTTCATCATTACTAACGTTTTTAACATGAACGCCCGCCACAGAAACAGGAAGTACGCGCTGGCTTCAGATGCACATCAGTAAAAACACCGCTCATGAATGGGAGACGTATTTGGATCGCCCCCTGGTGGCTGCTACACCATTCATCATGTTCCATCGTGTAAAGGCCACGCCCCTTCATATGAACAGAAAAGGCGGTTTGCGAGATTCAGAGAAGGAACCTTTGACGTCAGCACGTTTAAGATTTTTTATTTTGATTGTTACATTTTTATTAAAACTGAAAACCGTCCCGAGCCGTCATCATCATCATCATCATCAATGACACAGTGCTGACTTGGCACAGCAGGACTGGACCAGACCGGTCAGAGGTCACGAGCCCATCTCCCCCCCTTCCTCCCCCAGGGGGGAGCAGAGGTGTGAGATGAACACACAGTGGTAGTTCCACAGCAGCAGCAGCACCATCAGCAGCAGGCCGCAGAGCAGCAGGGCCACCAGCAGGGGGAGACGGCGCGATGCTGACGGAGGGCAGGAGTCGCCGCAGCTGACGGGGAGAGGGAGAGGAGGGGAGGAGCAGCGATGGAGCCACAAACAGAGACGTTTGAGTCCCGATGGGTCAGACTGAGATGAGCTGACAGGTGACGGCATGGTCCTGGAGAGGTCAGAGGTCAGGTGGAGCTCAGCTGAGAATCAGAAACAGAAACATTGGTAAAAACCAGAAGCTCCGTAACGCTCCAACCTGAGGGGGGGGGGCCCACTAA